GTTGTTGTTGTTATGTGCCGTCGAGTCGGCCCCGACTCATAGAGACCCCTCCTTGGGTTTCCAAGGCAGTATCACTACGGAAGTAGGATTGCCCATGGCTCTTTAGTGATCTATAAATTCAAATTTTCATAAAATTATATTAGAAAATAATTGCTTTGTCTTCTCAAACATTTAATACCATTTTTGTGTCTTATTAAATCAAATATCAGTGTCAGTGCATTTCATCATATTCGGTTGTTAATGAAAAAACTCTTCAGTAACCTTAAAAATATAACATCTTGAAAGTTAAAAGCAAAATGGATTTCCATCATTTTATTATACCTTGGAGAAGATAAAGGACAAGAAGCCAGAAAAAGATGACCTTTGATGTTACTTGTAACCACCATCGGAAGAAAAAGGGAAAAAATACAACTCGAACGATTCCCTTTCTAGTCAGAGAAGTCCAAGGGCTTTCAGGTTTTGCCTTAGCAAATGCAGACCCTGAAAAAAGTAAAATACAATGACAGAGTACTTTTATTATTATTTAATTTCCTTAGGGAAAAATAACTCAACATTTCAAGAAAAGCATAACACATATAATCTTATTTTGTGCTATACTGTGAGTGAGAAATGTTCAATACTTGGTAGGATGTACTTTTAAAAACATTTTATCATGCTATCATAGTAACGCAGGTATTTTGGAAAAAAATATTTAAACTGAAATAACAGCAGAATTTCTCCCATATATTTTATTATGTTGTTGTTGTTATGTATAGTCGAGTCGGACTCGACTCATTAGTGACTCCTCCCCCTTGGGTTTCCGCGGCAGTGTCACTATGGAAGCAGATTGCCCCATCTTCCTTCCGAGGAGTGACTGGTGGGCTTGAACCGCCAGCCTTCTGGTTAGCAGTCACGTGCCTTAGGCACTATGCTACCAGAGCTCCCATATTTTATTATAGCAATGTTCAAGTATCAGTTCCAGTTAAGAATTACAAACGATCACTTTAATTTTTATAACCAAGTCCCATAGTTTGCTAACAAACACAAGTTGCTATTCTTTTGTATTTATTATTTAGAATAATTTAGAATGATCTTTAGTGGAAAATAAAAATAGTCAATGATATTAAAATACTTCTATTAGTCTTTTTTACCCATGCTCATTTTAACAGTATTTCTACCTTCATTTAAACTTATATTTTTTCAAATTGTACAAACATACATATGTAACCCATTTTGAATTCTGTTTCTTCAAGGTCAGTTTATACCTACATTAAGCATTTGTATATCCAAGACTCACCTCTTACAAGATCAACATCTATGAGGTCTGGTTTCACATGTGCTGTTTTCTTTGGTTTATTCCTTAATCCCTATATTAAAAGTAGTATAAGAATTCAATATATATATATACACATATATTTTATCCAGAATAGTAGAAAATAATCAATTTCTAATGATTTCAATTTAAAATAAAGTCTTTAAGTAATATACTGGACAAAAATGTAACATGTTATCTATATGATAAATGAAACTATTCTATTATAATAAATTTTATTTTCTAAAAGGAAAATTTAGAGATATGTGTAACACGAGAGGTCTGCTTATTACTAAAAACAAGTACAATACAAAGATCATCACTACCGAGCAAATTTGAGCATACAGCCTGAAAAAGTCCAGGAGACTGCGTTGGCCCCAAACTGGCATAGGAAAGCAGTTGAGGCTAGCTGGGAGAGCAGTCGGCCCAAAGGGACCTCAATATATGATGAGAAGGCTGTGCTGCAGAAAGCAGTAGGTCACAGAACTGAGGATGAGGTAAGGGTGCAGATTTCTCAGCAGATGTCAGCTGTAGGGGTGGTATCAGCTGAGACCTAGACAGGATGATGCACATTTCAGGGGTACCACTATATTCACATGCCAACTATCACCAGACAACTGTCCATATGCCACAATGCTACCTAAGCACCTCAGAACTTAGATGTCATGCCCAAGAGGAGGAGAAGAGGAATCATTAACTGAATTCATTTAAAGTTAAAATTATTGGACACTGATGATTAAGTTTCTGACATCAGTGAACAAAATGAGACAGAGGGTGTGTGTGTGCGGGGGACGACTATGGAAAAATTCATTACATTTTAAGACTTAAAAACGCTGGAGTATCCAGAACTAGGATGTGAGAAATTAAATAGTTAGGCTACTCTCCTCAGGAGCCAAGTGCTGAGAGGTGACAAAGGTATCTAGATGACTTGTTAATTGTTCACTCAATTAAACAAGCAGCTGTGTTGTCTTTCCTCTTGTCTGAATCCCAGTAACAATACCCCTAAAGTAAAAATTTGATTAAGTACTGTCTGCTTCTAAAACAAAGAGGAACGCATAAGCTCAGAATAAACTGAGATGTTGTTGTTATGTGCCATCAAGTCGGACCTGACTCATAGCGACCCCTCCTTGGGTTCCAGAGGCAGTATCACTATGGAAGTAGATTGCCCAACCTTCCTTCAGAGGAGTGGCTGGTGGGTTTGAACCACCAGCCTTCTGGTTAGCAGTCAAGTGCCTTTGGCACTACGCTACCAGAGCTCCTAAACTGAAATAGCTATACTAAAAAAGTATGCTAAAATCAAGATGCAATAAACCTTTGAACTTCTCTGAACAGCCTGTCCTAAACCTTTGAACCTCTTTGAACAGCCTGTCCACCTAAAGTTGCTAATCACCCAGATATATAAAAGCAAAAGAAGAAAGAAAAAAGTCAGGGGTGAAGATCTAGCCATAATTCCATATATCTCTTTTCTCCTCATTTTAATCTCACCATAGAGTGATGGACTAGAAATTCTAAGATACTGTAAGTTGGAAAGGTGATTCTAACAATATATATAGTTTAACAAAATTTCAATACTACAACCCTATTTATATTTTATATGAACTTTATGACAATGGGATTTTACCTTTATTAGTATCAATAAATTTAAAAAACTGGTTGTTGTTGTCATTGACGTTCTATAATAGTGAACTAATACAATTTTCGTCCTTCTGTGATTGACTTATTTCACTCAGCATACTGTCCTCCAAGTTCATCCACATGATGAGTTGTTTTGCAGATTCTACATTATTCTTTAGGATTGCACAGTATTCCATTGTGTGTATGTATGTACCACAGTTTGGTTATCCATTCCTCCACTGATGGGCAGTTAGGTTGCTTCCATCTCTTTGCTATTGTGAATAGTGCTGCAGTGAACATGGGTATGCATATATCTATTTGTGTCCTGAGTCTCACTTCTTTAGGATATATATACCTAGTAATGGGATTGCTGGATCAAATGGTATTTCTATTTTCAACTTTTTAATGAATCACCATACCATTTTCCACAATGGTTGCATCATTTTACAGTCCCACCATTTAAAAAATTGGTTGTTGTTGTCATTGACATTGACTTAGCAGTGTCATTGACTCAGCAGTGTATGAGATTCCCAATCTCTCCACATTCTCACCAGCATTTGTTATCTTCTGTCTTGTTCAACTTTGCTATTAATGCTGGGGTGAGATGGTATCTCATTTTTGTTTTGATTTGCATCTCTCTAATGACTCAACGGCACATAACAACAACAACAACAACAACAATGGCTAATGATAGTGAACATTTCTTCATATGTTTGTTAACTATTTGAGTATCTTCATTGGTGAAATGTCTGTTTACGTCTTTTACTCATTTTTTAATTGGACTGTTTAACTTTTCAGTGTTGAAGTGTTGGAGTTTTCTATAAATTTTAGAGATAAGTCCTTTGTCAAATATGTCATTGCTGAGTATTTTTTCACAATCTGTAGGTTCTCTTTTTACTCTTTTGGAGAAATCTTTTGATGCACATAAGAATTTAATTTTTAGTAGATCCCAATCACCTAGTTTAGCTTCTGCTATTTGTAGATTTTAAGGTATACTTGATAGCCATAAATTTGGGCCCCTAAGTTTGCCCCAATTTTTTCTTTGATGAACACTACAGTTTTATGTTTCACATTTAAGTCTTTGATCCATCTGCAGTTACGTTTTTGTGTATGGTGTGAGGTGTGGCTCATTTCATTTTTCTGTAAATGGATATCCAATTTTGCCAGCACTATTTGTGAAAGAGACTATTTCTTCCCCATTGAATGGATTTGGCCCTGCAGTGAATTGCTTGATGTGGCCCTTCTAGCCATTGTCCTCCATTCTGTGGTGTTTTGTAAATCCCATTATCCATGCCTGTTTGGGGTGGTGTGGTAGTTAAGGTCAGGTATCAACTTGGCTGGGCAGCTGGTAGCAGTCATTCCCTATAATGACTGGCAATCGACTCTGTGATGGGAT